AGCTCTCCCTCTCTGTCTTTTGTGTTACGGCTCCTACTCTCTCTCTTTTTCTTAGTGTTTCCTTTTAAGCCTAGTGGGATGGTAAAACTGACCAATCCGCTTGTTAGGGTTCCATATGCCTCATTTGCATAGTCTTACCCCATCATTTGGTGGGAGTTACAAAGATGATGACTAGAAGGGCCATATTAAGTGATTCACTGCACTGTACCCCACGTTTTCAGAAGTGACACTCAACAACAAGAAATCGATTAAAAAAATGTTTTTCCCCTGCCTCATTCCACCTATCTTACCTCCAGAGTTCACTGGTATATATGTCTACCACAAAATATTAATAAAAAACCATATTACATAACAAAGATTACCATCACTCAGTGCTTCAGCATATGTTCCATTAGTGAAAACACATTACGTCACCAAAAATTACAAACATAATTCACTCATGAGAGGGTTTAACTGGATCACTGATTGAACTTTCCAATTTTTGCTTAGAGGTTTTACAGCGTAGCTTCAACCAGAGTGAGGAGCTCTAAGCCAGTGAGCACATGGGACCAGCTGGCAGGCCCAAGCTTGACACTGGTTTCCGGGCTAGGCTTTGGCAAGAAGGGATGTTGGGTTTTCTCTTTCCAAATAATTTGAGGGTAAACATGAGAATGCAATGACTAATGTCCAGTAATAACATGGGACATCACATTTCTTGGTGGGATTGTACAATCTAATTTAGGGATAGTTCAGATTATCATTTTGAGAAATTCAAATAATGCTCCAAAATGAAAACTCTTGTCAAAATTAATAATGATGTCAGATGCTAGAAGTATTAAATCAAGGTGTTTACCTTATTAGGTGACTCAGTATTTCAGACTCTATTTTTTGTTTTTACCTAATACATTTGGATTTAAAAAAATGATCATGGAATTTGATATCCTCAAATGAGAATGAACTGACTTAAATCCATATCTATTTAAGTAAACAACAAAATTAGAATTATATGACTCCTTTACAATAACCATTATGGAAACACCCCAAAGGGGAAAGTTTTAAATGAGTAAGATTTTTACAGGAGCAGAAAAGAAATTCAGGAGTTATTTTCAAAATTCAAATACTTCCTCCCCAATTTAATATGTTAAAGAACCCTTCTCACTTAAGGTTGAAATAGAAAACATACTTTACCTTTGTATTTGTTCCAGAATTCTTTCTAAAAGGGAAAATAGATTTAAACATACATCAGGGACAACACAGATGTTTGACACCAATAAAAATTAAAACGCAGTAACTCAGCCTGAATAGGTATTCTCCCAAACCATATTTAGTTTTTAGAATAAATTGTTCAATAATTATTAAAAGGGAAAGCTATTTAGATCTGCTTCTGCATGGTTGTGGCTTCAATCATCTTAAATGCACCATTTTTGTTGAATATTGAAAATATATTTTCAAGTTAATCACCAAGAAATGGTTATACCAAAAAGGATTTGCTCTCCTTGCTACCCTCAACTTGGTCAGTGAATGGTTTTTAGTTAAGATGCCTGGGTCAAAGATTCAATGAAGGATCAGATGCTTGGTGAATAATCATTACGTTAGTTGAAAATTTTAATTGGCGATCAGTTTAAAACAAAGCATCAAGAGGCTATATTATACAAATAACGTTCATAGTCTAAAAATATAATGTTCTTACTTTTTAAAGGTTATTTAAAAGATTATCACACAGTAAAATATACATTTTACGTTTCAATGAATAGATTCATGTAACCATTACTACGATCAGGATATAGAACAGTTGCTTCACTCTCCAAAATTTCCTCATGCTGTCTCACTCAGCCCTGGCAACCCTTGGCAATTTCCACTCTATTTCCAGGCAGTGCTGATCCGCTCTCCATCAGGCTAGTAATGTCTTTTAGAGAATGTCATGTAAATGGAATCATACACTAAGTAACCTTTACAGACTGACTTCTTTCATTCAGCATAA